AATACGATATGGATCAAATTTTTGATTTTAAAGCAATGAAAGATGCCGGAATTAATTTTTCAGTGAAGTACCTTGATAAGGCAAAGCCTCGAATCCCTGATTCCTCGGATGATGATATACCTAGAGATTATGAAAAAACGAACGAATTCCGTTATATAAAAAAGTTAGTAAAAAAACTTAATAAAAGTAAATTTCTAGATTACTTTGATAAATGTCAGGAATGTAATAAATTATTTCATGATCCTAATTTAGGAAGTTATTGTGGAAAACATATACTAAATAAACTAGGTTGTTGTAGAAATCATTGTTGTATTGATGAAGATTTTGGTCACTGTAAGTTACATTGCATAAAAAAATTTGAAACTTATATTAATAAATGCGATAGTAATTAGTTATACTAGCTATTTCCAGCTAATCTAGATACCCCCATATAAGTTGTAGATATCCTCAATTTCATCATATGCTTGTTTAGGTACTGGAATAATTGGTCTATTATTCATTATACCATAATGATCTGATGCGGTATTAATTACCTTCTGTCTTAATGCTAATTGACGAAGACGTTTACGTTTGGAATCATTCTTATTTCCATGAATAACAATAGCATGATCAGATCCAATTTTTCTCAAATATGATGAGCTTATTCGATAAACAGCTAGGAAATTATTAATAGGGTGAACATTCACATCACCGTCTTTGTCTCTTATTAGAAATGGAAATTTGTTAGGAATTGCTTTCTGGATCCAAATAAGTAATTCTCTAGCCAGTAATGGATCTTTCTCCATAGATACAAATGGACGAGGCTCATTATTTTTATTTTTCGCATAATCAGTACAATACCAAGAATATTTAGGATCATACCATTCTTCGTTACTTGGTGAATAGTGGTTGATTCGAAGAGTTGCAACATCCGCTGGTCTCATAGATAACATTATCATTATATCCATTAAATTTTGCATTGTGGGGGGGGGGGGTGACAGTATTACAATCCTTAAGTCTTTTCTGGACATTTTCCAAGTAAAAGAATTCGGGACAATCATATCCCTCATCTTCACGGAGCTCTTGATTTATTGCTTGTTCTTTATTTGATTTTTGAGTAATATCGGGTATATATATTGCTTCTATTGTAAGATATTTAGCATTAAGTATACGCATTTTTTTTCGAAGCAATTTAAGACGTGAAGATTGAGCTATTACAGTAGGAGCTGTTTTAGCTAAGTTATATGCTAGCGTATTTATCTCTTCGGGTTCAAGATTATCTTCATTTTCCTTAATATATTGAGCGAGCTTTTCAATCAGGTCTCGCCCTGTAATACGCCTTCCGGAAGCCTGGATAGGAATTAAAGCATATGTTTGATCTTTGCTAAATCCTAATTTTTGGATTCTATTTCGAGCGTGATCACGAGCTTTATAATCTTTTAATTCTTTACATATTTTTTCAGCATAATTACCAAGCTCAGCTATACTCATCTGAGGAGTTAAGTTATACTGATTTACGAAATTTGTAGCTACTTTCGACATTGTTGTTATGGTATAATTGTGTGGACTATAACTATGGAAAATATTTTTTCAAATCGAAATTAATTATGTGTCGAAGACACTGGGCTATGCCCATCCACGGATTAGTATAGCTATACCCAAAAATTGAATGGGTTGCGGTTAATGTAATTATACCGGAAAATGGACATGAGCAAAACACTGAATAGATCGAAGGTTTTGGAATCTATAGCTCTATGTAATAAAATTAATGA